TTTCTTTCTTTCTTTTCTTCTCCTCCTCTCTCTCTCTCCCTCTCTCTCTTTTCACACGCGCGCGCGCACACACACACATACACACACAAGCTCTCTCTCTCTCTCTCTAATCCCCCTCTCCCTGTTCCCCTCTTTTAAGATTGACACTCTCCTTGAATGTTCAAATTCAAAATTTTTTTTTTTCAACGAGTGGCAATAGCAGGTATTATAATCAGCGACCAACACATGAATCGATTCCTTAGGAAAGGTAACGGTCGAGAGCGAGATTTTCTCGTGTTCGAATTTTCGAATCGGGCATAACAGCTGTGGCGGTGGCATTGGCAGCAATGTGCGGTCGCATTGGAACAAACAGGTCATGTCACGATTTTCGAGGAGATAATAAGGAAATAAGGATTCGAAAAAGGACGATGATATTTTTGATGAATGCGGAAGTAAGAAAGAAAAAAGAAAAAAGAAAAAAAAAAAGAAAATACAAAGAGGAACACGAAATGAGATAATAAAATGGAAAAATAAGAGGATAATTGAAGATAGAATGGGATGATTGGTAAACGGAATGGAAACGGAGGGGAAAAATGGCAAAAGAGAGGGAAAGGATGAAAGGGGAGAAGAAAAGAAGAAAAGAAGGAAGAAGGAAACGAGGTACGCGAGGGACGAAAGGACAGGCGAATGGATAAATCGATCTCGGGTGGATGGATGGGTGAGCACTTTAAGGGACGGGGGGACGATAGAGAATAGATGTTCTTATTAGGTTAGAAAGGACTTAAGCTTAGGAAGGTTAGTTATCTCCACCCTCCTGTGCTTCGTCCGCATCACCCTGCGTGTCACTGGTCCAAAGAGTGAGGTTGTCGCGTAAAAGCTGCATAATTAGCGTGGAATCTTTATAGCTGTCCTCGTTAAGTGTGTCCAACTCTGCGATCGCATCGTCGAACGCCTGAAATGATTATATAAATATTAAAATTTTAATAAAAGATTCCATCTCAATTTTTTTTTCTTCCTTTCATTTCGCATATGAATCTATGCAGCAATCGCGGCAAAACTATAAGAATTCGCATTCTTTCACAATCACGCGAAGTCATACATTCGTGCAAAGCATTAATAAATTTTTATTAGAGATAGGAAATGTTGCGAGTATATGGATATTAGATGCGTATGATGCGGAATAGTTACCGATACAGTGGAGACTCATTACAGCATTGTCACACTAAATATTAAAATAACTTCTTTTTTCTTTTTCTTTTTTTTTTTAACAGGTTAGTATGCACTCAAAAACATAGCATTTACCGTAGTACAGCATCACGACACACTGATAATCAATAATTAATAGTAAAAGATGCATTTATTTGTTTAACATCAAATAATCATCCAACCAAGCATCAAACTGTCGATTATCCCTAACCTGTTTGGCAAGATGACAGGCTCTAGCGGGAGAATTAATAATTTCATAATAAAAAACGGAGAAGTTGAGAGCAAGGCCGAGCCTGATGGGATGCGTAGGTTGCATTTTTGACTTTGCAATGTCAAATGCTTCTTGATACGCTTTCTGTGAATCCTCGACTACCGCTGTAATGCAAACCGAGAAATCTAGATTACAATTTTCATAAATTTCAAGATGAAACTTAACTTTTTTTTTTTTTTCTTGAGATAAATCTATGAGGTTGTCATGTGTTGTCATGTATGTATGTACATAGGAAGGAACAGGAAGAAAGGGAGAAAAGAGTAACTTTTTCATTTTTTCTGCAACACACTTTCGCGAGTATGTATTATTTGCAATCTTAATCGATGAAGAACCAACGAGAATTTAGAAGAGCACATCAACAAGTTATAAAAATAAAAAGATCTTCCCACAGCAAGATAAAATAAAATCGTAAAATTTTAGCCTTCACTGCATCACCATCACTTTCCTACTACTACATCTCTTCCTGCAATTGCTGTAAATTATCGACGTCATCCTCGTTTCTATAAATTATACCTGTTTGGCCAGCTGGCAGGCCTTGTCTGGTGAGTTGATGATCTCGTAATAAAAAACGGAGAAGTTGAGAGCAAGACCGAGTCTGATGGGATGTGTAGGCTGCATTTTTGACTTTGCTATGTCAAATGCTTCTTGATATGCTTTCTGTGAATCCACGACTACCGCTGTAATGCAAACCAATGGGAAATCCAGATTACAATTCCTCCAAATTTATACGTAATCTCTCCTTCTCGTCGCGATGTACACGTAAAGGCTAGGGAATACGGGAATAAAATGGAAAAAGGGAAGGAACATGAGCAACCATTTCGCGTGATTTTTACGCGAGACATTTACAGTGTTCGTGAGTGTACTACACGGTTGTGCAAACAAAGGAAATCACCAGAGTACAGATAGGGAACAAAATTGAAAAGTGCCTTTTCCTTCACCCCATAAAGCAGAATATTTATATTTTTGCCTCCACTGCATCAACACCATCCTTTCGCATCTTCTCTTTCGCGATTGCTGTTTAGTTCTACTATCGATATTTGTATCGACCCTCGTGAATTATACCTGTTTGGCCAGCTGGCAGGCCTTGTCTGGAGAGTTGAGGATCTCGTAATAGAAAACGGAGAAGTTGAGGGCGAGACCTAGCCTGATTGGGTGGGTAGGCTGCATCTTTGACTTGCTGATTTCGAACGCATCCTGGTATGCCTTCTGGCTGTCGTCTACCACGGCTGAATATATTATGTGCAAAATTATCAACAAAATGTCAACGATTTTATAATTGTTGATATTTTGAATTTAAAACTGATTTTGTCTCGATATGATTATCTTTATATACGATTATATATATATAATTATCTTTAACGTTTCACAAATAACAATAACAACATATTATAATGAATAATTAATATTAATAAAATAAATAAAATAAATATTAAAAAACCTAATATATTTCAACAATAAGTTTCAATTTCTTATTTTGAAAGAAACGATATTTGCGCGTTATTGTATGAATTTTAAATCAAACTTAGAAAAATGCGAACGAAACGTAAATGACATTGTTTGTCATTATCGAGAAAAAAAACATGGCGTTAAATTCCACCAACGCTTTAGAATTATTTTTCTGTTCAAATATATAAAACTATATAAAAATAGTCCAATATACGATGAGCATCTTGGAATTTTTCAAACCTTTTCGAATCTAAGAATGTAACAAAACAGTAGATTCAGCAAAGAACATCTGCCATTGCAGCTGTGCTTCCTTTTTTCTGAACTATAGCTACGGGGACGAACGCAGGTACGAAAAGTATTGTGCGACAGCTTTCTATTCGAAGAAAAACGCACATTGATCCTCTCGTACGAAATTCAATGTCACATTATAGACAAAAATATCTTCGACTGGTTTTATATCTTGATGAAATACAGTGAGTATGCAAAATAAAAAAAGAAAAGAGAGACAAATGCCCTGGATTATGTATCAATCCTTTCTTAAGATTGTCGATGAAGAATTAATTTCAGCTACAAATGATTATTAACCAGAATCCGTAAAATTGTAATTGTGAAGCCGTTATTAATATTATGTGTTATCGAATACATACCATTTCTAGTTTCTCCGGTAGCAACTTCTGCGAGATACCTGTAGTAGTCGCCTTTCATCTTGAGGTAGAATACTTTACTCTCGGCATTACTAGCCTTGGGGATCAGGTACTTATCAAGGAGTCCCTGGAACACGATGATATAATTAATTTCTATATGTTTTTTTTATTAATTTTTGTCACTATGTAGCGCAACAAAGAGAAAATAAAAATAGAAATATATATAAATATTAGAATAAATAGAAAACGCTAAATATCTTATAACAGATATTATCCTTTTCCATTTTCCAAAACCGACATCGTTTTCATTTGTTGTCATACATTGCTTTATTTAGATCGATTCGATTTAGACACTTCAGGTTAATCGTGATTCATAAAGATATTCTCTTACAATTGCTGGAACAAACTTTGTCACGCTTGCTAAACGATGGGAAGGGATAGTAAGACGAGCTACTAGACGAGCTGCTAGTGGATAACCAAGTCATGTGAAATTCAAACCAATGAGTGATTTTTGTTCTTCAACCATAGGGATATGCAAACGCAACAAAAAGGATCGTTCGCCGGTGTAAGATAAGTCGACAAAGCCAGCAACTGTTTTGCAAACACATTAAATCCACCGTGTTAATATGTTTCAAGATATCTACATATCGTAATCGATCGTATGCATCATGTTCGAGTGATTGACTTTCCAATCATGAAAAGAAAAAAATACATATAAATTCGTTATTTTTTAATTTATATAATCGATCAAAATTGTAATTATGTAAAAACGATAAAGGAATAAAATAAATAAATTCTTACCAATACATCGTAACAGATTTCACGTAGCTCCTTCTCGACCTTTTCCCGATATTCCTTGGCCATTTGCTGTTTACGCTCGGAACCTTCAGTTTTCTGCTCAATGGAGGAAATTACTCGCCACGAGCTACGTCTTGCGCCAACGACATTCTTGTATGCTACCGACAACAAGTTCCTTTCTTCGTTCGATAACTCGACTCCCGTTTCGGTGACTGCCTTCATTGCGGCTGCCATATCATCATACCTTTCTGCCTGCTCGGCAAGCTTTGCACGCTGTACCAATTCTTCTTTGTCCACGGACATTCTGTTGGCTAAAAAACAAAAATCTCGGATATATTGTATGTATATATACATCTTGGTACATAACCAGAAAATTTAACTCGTAGTAATTCGTAATAAATTCAGAAAATATACACAAAGAAATTGTTTTAAGTTGGAAAGAAGAAAGGAGAAGGAAGAAGGAAGAGAGGAGCGTAACGCACATGTGTAATACAAATGTAACGGTGCAACACAGTTGAATTAACACGCGACTTCAATGTCGTCAAGTTCCTTTTCTCGTCTATCCGGGAGTCGCTGGTACGCGTGTGAGAATAGATTTCACCGACGCGTTTAGAACACAAGATGACGTATATAAGTACACGAGCTGCACACGCGTTGTCCAATCTAACTGGCCTCGTTCGCACATAGCATCATTAGCAAGTTATTATATTCTTTATTCTAGAATCTACGAAAAGAGCTTCTTTTCCCAAAGATTCTTTGTGAACAGCTGTTTCTATTAAAGTATAATTAGAAATATTTTCTTTTACCCGGCACGACCACCTAATGATCATTGACAATAAATTTACCCGAAAGAGAAGTTTAGTTGTCTTTGTCGACCTTGACCATGAACGTCGTCGCATTTTTAACATTGAATAAAAAATTTTTGCTTTCCGAATAGAATCAAGAATCGAATACATCTCATTGATGATATGTTTTTCATAATTTTTTTCTTTTTTACGATCAATCGTGTTAGAAAAAAAAAAAATATAAAACAACTATCTTTAGAACTAAGAATTAAAAACTAGAATTTTTAGTCAATTCTTTTGATATATTTCATTTAATCATTCATCCAATTTTTTTATCCTATTTTTATTTCAATTTATATTTAATCGGTCATATTTAATTAGAAATTTATTAAAGAAAATTGAAGGGAAACAACAAGTAAGAATAACAATTAAAATTTTATATAAAATGATCGTTCCAATTTACAAATATGAAAAGAACATGATTCCTAATACACTATGATCTTTATTCACGTAGATATAATCGTATAGCAGCGATGAGTCACTGGATTGGACCGCGTTACAACGCCAAACCGTAGTAGGCACACGTTTAAACATCTCGACTTCTTTTAACACACGCTTCACGTTCGTCGACCGTGCACGCACACGCTTCTCAGAGTTTCGTTTTCGTATTTTTACGTATTTTTTTATTCATTATTTTCAAATTCGATAGTTTGAATGTTAATTCATAAAACATTGAATGAAGCATAATCAAAAAATATCTGAACAGAAATGCATGATATCAGTTAAATGTTCTTACGTTATGGTGCCCAATTCTTCCTCAATGAATCACAATGACGAGAACATTGCGACGTAACTAAATGTTATATACATTAACATACATACACAATATTATAAATTGATTCAAGAATGAAAGTAACAAATCGCGATTATACACCAAATACGAATACGCTTCACAAGCTTTTCCACGAATGCCTTACGTTTCATTTGACTTTACGCAGAATCGTTTTCCATTCCTTTTCGTATCGATCATCCTCCTTTCTTTCTCGTACGCAAATAACGCGCAAACTCCGTTCAATTTATTTCGAAATCTTGAAATCTAAAGAGAATCAGTCTAGACGAAAGAAACAATTTTCCACATTATGCGAAATAGATTAATCATAATGCGGAATCATTACATCATTAATTATTTAACTATCAGATTAAACGTAAGCGAAGAAAACGATATTGATCAAACAAAATAATTCTATATAGTAATTTTTCTTCGCACAAATATGATGTACTTCGTTACTTGTAATAACATTATAAAAAAATTTCAAATTGTCATAAAAAAAAAACTTATTTTATGCTATATGCAATGCCGATCAATTGTATGCGTTTGAAACTTGTTGAAAAATACATGTTGCTTGTTAAAATATCGAAACACTGTTATAGCGTCAACCGTTAGTGTTCAAGGTGAATATTTTAAAAGCTGGAACGCAACGATCGATCTAATGTGTGTACGATATATGTATCCGTTATTAATTCTTCGAATAAAATATCTATATACTGTGCTACTTACAGTGGCAACGAACAACGGTGTTTTACGTATGAATTGATAAACGTACATATCATTACGCAGATGTAAAGTTTTTTCTAAGCGATTAATTCTAATGCATATATATATATATAAATTTTCGAATATATAAAAACGTTTACAATACTAATTGTGTAGAAAAAATTGATTATGTATCGTTATTGTCAATTCATTAATTGTTCGATTCATTATTTAATAGAATCTTTAAGAATATCAAAAAAAAATTTTTTATTCTTTTAATAATAAACACAAAAAATAGATTTTCACATTGTGACATTCAATACAAACAATAATGTCGGATAAGATCTATGGAAGATGGATGATCAAAAATACTAATCAAAAATACACTGTTCACGTAATATCCAAAATTAATCGTAAATTATAATGAGATATGCGCTCTCGCTGAAAATTATATTGATATGCGAATATTCGATATAATTTTATTCAATCGCGAGCTTATTAATTGATCGAGATTCGATTAAAGATATCGAATAAATGATATATATTGATGTAACTAACATTGAATAAAATACAACATGATTATATATTGATTTCTTGAAAATTTTGTATTATTTCATATAATACTTATCATTGCACGATTATTCAATCACGATAAATATGATTTATGTAGATCAGATGGAAGGTCAAGTAGCCAAATTCTTCTTCGAAGAAACCCGGACGGAAATATTAAACCGGTAGGTGTATTCGACGTCCTATATTTAATCGCGCGCAATCACCTGGCTTTAGGTTAGCAGAGGCTCAGCGACACTGTTGCCGGATCTACAAGAGAATCGATGAGAAATCCCACGTTGCCAGTGAAATATTTCCGGCGCAAATTTTTCAAGCGAATGGAATATGACGAAACACAAATACTTAAGTTAACCTCAAAGCTTTTCCTACGTACCAATTATCATAATAAATATTCATATAATTTTAGTATATTAAAATCTTTGCTTATTACTTATTTCAAAATAGATCATTTTTTTCTTTTAGAGTTTCCTTATACATCTATTTTCCTTTTTTGAAATATTACATTGATTCTGCATTATTATCCATTTATAAACATCATTATATTAACTATAAATAGATAATGATAAAAAAATTACTACAATGTAATTACTAAATTACTACAATCGATTAAAATTATCTTAAAAATTATATAAATAAAATAAATTATATCGAAAGACAAAAAGCATGATTACCTCAAATGATTTGATAACTGAAAGCATTATCGAAATGAAAATAGTTAAAGATAAAGATGTCGCATGTATCTAAAAAATGTGACATCCTTATTATATTGATAAAAATATAAATTTTATCAGACTTTGATTTATCTATATCTATCTATATTACATTATATTACATTTTCTACGATAAAATATTTTTTTTTCAACATTCCTTGCTTATTTTTTAATTATTATTTTTGTTATTTCAATTAAAAGCCAATATCTTTTGCTAAAATTATAATAAATAAATAATGGAAACTCTAAAAAAAATTACTATTACCATTCAAATACGTATCAAAAAGCGAAAATATTCAATTTAGACACGTAAAGTGGAAGCTTCCGTGGGAGGTGAGGAGCAAAGCTCGTATTGTTAGGCCGAAGGTCACATGCGCGAAACACTTCGAATAAAAAAAAATTGCGTACATTTATCATGTATGATTTGAGGTTATATTCGTAGTCGCGTAGCTGGGCCGAAGAGGGAGCAGTCAAACGGAGCGCCACGGCGCTACTTTCACGAAGCGAGAGCGAAATTCTTCATCTACGTTCGCTCTCTTTCCTTCTTTTCCTCTCCTGTTTAACACGCCCCGACCCCGAAGCCGTTCTAAACCGTTCATGTCGCGATATGAACGAGAACAATCCGAGGACAAAGAAACTCGGAACAGGAACACCTTACTTCGGTAAAAAAGTAATTGGCGTCATTGCGGAAACTGTACCGATTCATTCTGCGTCGCAGTATAATACCGCAGAAATCGATAACCAATTCACTCTCCTTCTTGGTTTGATTAGGAACGCGACATCGAAACAAAATTTCTAGCACATTCTCGAAATATTAATGTTCTAGAAAATAGTTCAATAAAAAAAAAAAATAACGAAAATGATCATTTACATGCAGAGACATGGAAAGAACAACTACGGGAACAGAAGGTGAACTGGAAGGAGAGAGAAAGAAAGAGGGAGGGAGGGAGAGGGAGGGAAGAAGAGAGAAAAAAGGAAGATTAAGTCGAGAGAAACTCGAAATAGATAAAGCGTCATTAAGCAGACGCATAAGATAGAAGCAACGAATTGTTGCAGAATCTTACCTATAGTTAAAGTTTTTTGTACAATAAATATTTAAATAAATATATGATCAGCGTATCCCGTAATTTCACGCGAAATTAGGAAGGGGCCCGAAAATTGACTAGACTTCTAGTTCTTTTTTGTCTGGGGGGTAAAGAGCGAGAGCGTATTACGCGGAGAAACTACGCCGGGTCTTTTTCCTCAGTCACACTCAGTTACGGTACCACACATCCCTCAGTGACCACTCCCGCACAACGACTGAGCCGGCAACGCTGCTCGTGGTGGGGACTCGGCGTGCCTCGTGCTGGGACTCGTCTTCGTTCGGTTTTAGTCGTCTCAAGTCGGTTTCTCTCGGTTTACCTCGTGGCCGAGCCGAGGTATTGATCGGTTCGCCCAGCATGGCCGGCTCGAAGAGGTTGGGTGGGGCAGTGCCGCACGGCTGTCCCTGTCCCGGGACGCCAACCACGGAATATGATGCGTCGTATTGGACTGCGTAACGCAACGCAAAAGTGCGTTGTACATTATGCTTATGCTTCTCACACTTTCCAAGTCTCTTTTATATGCTCTGTCCTCTTTTTTTTATACTTTCTTCCTATTATATATTATCCTTCCTTTTTCCCTGCAAACGAATCTTTCCATGTGATCTTGTTCTAATCATTTCTGAATTAAGTCAATTAGGCAAGCATTTCTTTCTTTCTTCATTTTCTTAATTTAAATTTTCATTTTTTCTTAATTATCTTAATATTCTTTTTATAAAACATTTTTCTTCCATAGTTCTCTCAAAAAATATGATAGAATTTTAAATATTAAGTATTTCAAATTTTTTATTATTATACATTATTATAAAACTTTTACAAAATTAAAAATACCAAGTATTAGATATTATTTGATTTCAGTAAAAAAATATAAGCAATGAAAATTGAATGTACGTAAAAACTGAATTTTTAATGAAATGCAAAAACACGTGCATAGTCACGTGATATACAGTTTTACCGGTGGAAATTATTTGGAAATTATACGATATATTTATTAATTACAACATTAATTACAACATTTAAAGTTATTGATTGATTTCTATTTATGATTTCAAATTAAATTATATTTATTTTATAGATAATAATTTTAATTCTAACTGTATATTATAATAACGAAATTCTCAAACTTTCTTCAAAATTTATGCGCTTCATTTATTTAATTTATCATTTATAACGATTATAAGATTTCTATTATTTAATTAATTTGAGTAAAGGAAGAAATAAAGTAAAAAAGAGAAAACCAAGAAGAAAAATAAGAAGAAAGAAAAATGATTTAGAAAAGTTACATTTCTACTATTAAAACGAATTTCACTTAATAAGGAAGAAGAAAAGAATACGAAGATTCGTATCAATGAGTGAAGAAAGTAGTAATTATTATGAAATATAATAGTTGTATCGAGAAGACGAGCGCAGAAAAATAGGTAGATAGTCTTTGTCTCTAACCACCCGCTCCCCCGGTTGGCGAAGCTAAAATGAAATATTGATCTGCGGAGGCGCGCGCAACCCCTGCAACCGACCCGCCCTTCTTCCTTGGTCACCATTTTCAGTTGCTCACCCCCATCCTCTTCTAACTCCTAACTGTTTTGTCATTTTCAAATCTTATAAAAATAATTTATCTTTGGAGTAATAATTTTTTTCTTCTTTGTTTAATCTTATTTTTCAAATTTGATTAAAAATTTAAGATTTTTCTCAGATATAATATATATTTTTTATCTCAATAATTGTCTCAGATTGCAACAAACAATCGAAAAAATAAAAAAACAATGTTATATTCTTTCTAAGTTTTTCGTTTATTTAAAAACGATGCCTATTGTTTCGATATTGAAAATATGGAAAAAGATCAATATTGCCGAATTTGGTTTATTTACTCTTCGAATGTATATTTCAATACAAGCATTTAATTCGAAACGACAGGTAGCTTGATTGAAAAGAATAAAGCAAACTAGCTTCATATATTATATATTGAATTGTTGGATAAATCTGATTTCTACGATCAACTATCGATCAACGTATGTATATACAAAGGAGCTTATGGTAATACGCGTACTCGTATCAATTCAATCGTTGTTCAAATACTATATATGATAAAGATTCAATATTGAATAACTAAGATCAAAGAAATTACAATCAATACAAAAAGATTTTTTAAAATTTTTAATATAATGTGCTATGAATTATTATAAATTATCGAGAAATAATAATGATTCGATTACTATCTAAAAAAAATCATTAAATTTATTTCAGAAACATATTATAAATATAATTTAAATTATAAGCTGAATCAAATATATAAATATAAATGACGAATGTTTAAAAATTCATCAATCAATTGATAAAAAGATTTTAAACCATAAATTATAATAATTATGATAAAAATATGTAGAGATTGAGATGCTATATAAAAATATGTATTGACACATGGCAAAATTATGTATCATATATGTAAAATTTTACAAAATGCGGTATAATTAAGAAAAACCATTATTCAAGCAGTATTATGTTGATGTTTTATAATAATCAAAAAGAAATTGTAAATATTATAAATATTGTAATTTTAGATATCTAGATATAAGATTACATTAACGAGCCAGCAGAATAATAACTGTTACTATGCAATATCATTTCTAAATGAATATTTCAATGGAAAAAAAAAAATGTCAGATACAAATAATTATAATGTTTAATGAAAAAATGATTATTATTTGAACTAATTTCCGTCTACTGCTATTTTCTTTGGCATCTTCAACTGAAAAATATTTAATAAAAAAATGAACTATTTTCCGCAAAATGTTGGCAGCAACCGATAAGGTAAGAACTCGTTTAATCGTTGGCTAACCATGAACGAGTTTCTCGTTTCGCGCGAAGAACTAACTTGAATACGCTTTTTTGAGATCAATACAAATATATAGAATGAAAAGAAAAAAAAGAAAAAGAGAAGAATATACAAGCCATCGAAGATCCAGGAAGCATAGCTGTTACGACACTAACCTTGTAATGTAACATAGGCTATCTCGAAAACCAAAATTATGCTTTTCAAGCTTATATATTCAACAAAATTTTCAATTACCTCGTTCTCAAATCATCGAGTTCAGCCAGTAGACTCAAGGATATTTTATTATTGATTTTCAATAGTACATGCTCCATGCTATTTTTATTACTGGATTCCAAGAGATTCGATTTAAGAATCTTGTGAATCCATCAGTGAGCAAATACGTATTAAAAATACAAAAAGTAAGTAATGAGAAAAAGTAAGAAGTACGTATGGAAGACATCTTTTCTCTCTATTCATGATACAACATAAATCGAATATGATACATGAGACCGATTAAACGTCCATCAACCAGATAGCGAAATATAAGAAGCTAGGTTTGCGAGAGAAATACGACTTGTGCTACAGGTGGTAGAGTATAGATAACGCGTGGGCGTGATGCTGCTACCGAATCTCTCTGACAAAAGAAAGCTTCTTAAAAAAAAGTTATGATTTTAAGATTATGATTTCTAATATTAACTTTCTAAAAGCTTATTATTTTCTTAAAATATGTATTTATTAAAATTAAAAAGAAAAGAAAAGAAAAAAAAAAAAGAAAAATCAGAATTGAAAAATTTGCACTTGTTTAACACATTGTCCCTGTTGGCGCGACGCGACACGGCATTACAATGCCGACTAGCTTGCGCAATTGACGTAGCAAGTATACGCTTTTTCACTGCCATTCACTCGTTTTCTACTGTCATATTGAATATTTTCATTCATTCACAATGAAATCTTACACCAACTTGACTTGGTGTAAAACAATTAACCGTGATCAATCAAACTTGTTTCGATTTTTATTTTATTTCACAAATTTCTTTTCAATTCGTTTAATCACAATCGACAGTAATTCTCGTCGATTTTATTCAATTTAACTCGAATTACATGATGTTTGTATCGAATGTATAAAATTATCGAATTGAATATTACTTAGTCATATTGCGATATAAAGAATAAACAATGTCTTTCATGTTCTACCATTGAATTGTAACTAACGACTCTTGAAAAAGTACTGCAAACAAGAAGTATATTTACGTTACGTTATACGTTAAAGGTGGCGCATACGCGATGAATTCGCGCGAGTTTCTGCGTCAGCCGTCTTGGAATAGCAAGTGATGTCAAGCTCAATGTTTCGATTCGGTTCAGTTCGTTCTTCTGACAAACCAAGCACATATGCATTCTTATACAATAATGAATTTTTATTCGCTATAATGAAAAATGTTTTCGAAACATCAGAATTATCAATAAATTATCAATTTAAAAATCGTTTATTATAAAACAGAAATATTTCAAAAAATTAAAAATCAATAAGAGAGCAGAGGATAAGAAAATGAAATAATCAATACGAATAAAACGAAAAATAATGCAAATGAACAAATAAATTGATTGTATCATATTAATAAATCACGAAAAGAAAAATAAAATAATAAAAACAAATAAGTATAAATCATTAGGATAAATTATTTTGTTCATCATACTATTTTTTTTTAATTACAAACAGATCTACATAAATGCAAAGAAAATTATAATAATCAAATGCTAATTATATTTTATTTTTTATTGAAAATTAATTGGAAATTAAAAATGAAATATATAAGAAAACACAACTCGTCAAAATGTTAACGATAATATGAGCAATCATATAAATGAACGATATACATGATATTTTAACTAAGATATCTTATTAACTGGCAAAATTCAATTTCCGACAGTACACGATTCTCATACCATATTTCCTAGGATTTTGATCACGGTAAACGATATCTATAATTATAGATCGTGATTCGTGCATGAAATATGAAACTATAAAGTAAATACCGATAATGTATCGATGATTATATCGATAATGTTTAATTGTTCTTTTTAAAAAAGTTGGAACTAAATCAGAAAACTTTTATTTATATTATTCCTATGAAATCTTTATAACAATTTTTAAGAATTTGTTTATTTATCTAATTTCGATTTAGTATCAGATTAAAAAGAATGCATTGTGTAAAGATGCTGAAGGTTATGAAGTCGTGGTGAATGACCAATTATTCGTAAATTCGTTTAAACGAATGAGTCAACAGAAAGCTTAAAAGCACTTTCGTCGAAGTAGCACTTAAATATACAGCCTTATAATACATACGGATATTGTGATATTCTTCCTTCTCGGTCTATCATCGTGCTTCAAATTTTGAATAAAAGAAAACCTCTTCTTGTTCGGTTAACTTCTTGAATACAATGTTAATCAATGAATCGCTACTACATCGAGATCTTCACAGTCAATTTACAGCCACTTAT